TATAATTTATACCTCTTCTATTTTTTTTAATATTTTACTATGGAAAAATTCAAATGTATGCAAAATGCAAAGACTAATACAGTATACCCCCAATCTACCTAGCTTCAACAATTTTCAATTTATGGCCAATCTTGTTATATTTATATTCCAAGCCACTTCTTCTTTGACAAGCAAATCTCAGAGTCAAATAATTTCTCCTGCATTTTAGTACTATACTTCTTACAGCCTTCTCAGTATTTAATAAATTCTTATTTAAAATAATTTCAGAAGATAATTAGGTAGACAACTAGGTATATGGACTAACTAGTAGATAATTAGGTACATGTACCAAAATGGAGAAATCACAGAAACACTGTTAGATGAAATAAATAAGTTGCAGACATCACAATTACATTTTTAAAAAGACCCAACCAAACAAAAATAAATAATAAAATAGACATGTGCTCCAAAATACATAAGCATATCATAGAAAGATAACTGCAAAAATGTACATCGAACGGTGGATTCTAATGATCTGTGAGAAGGGGAGTAGTGATTTAGGGGTTGAACTTAGGAACTGCACCTCGTAGACTTTTATATTGTTTGACTCTCATACAGAAAAATATATTCATCACCACTTATATAATACTTTTTAATAAAAAGAAGAAAATCAAAGTAAACACTTTGCTGCTTGCTGCCCAGAGTGACAGGAAGTCATCTGGGAAATGGAGAAAAGTCTCAAGTGCTGATTGGAGTTTCTGAGAAGTGACCTTCCTAATCAAGTGATTTTTTTCCTGCCAACTAAAAATACACTCTCCAGTTCAGGAAATGTGGCTGATTGAATAGCAGCTGCTGCCAATGACCTACTTTGCATATTAAAACAACCTTGGAAGAAAAGTAGCAAAACCTCCCTGTCATCAGTTCCTGTTTGGACCCAGGCTCAAGCTTATCACACACGTCTCTCTTGGCTTCCACATTAGCCTTCCTGAGTATTTTCCCAAGACAGCCTCTGGCCACTGTGTCTTTTCCCCCTGTAGTGTCAGGAAACTTCCTGCAAATATTGTAAAAGCAGAAGCTGAAGAAGCTTGAGTGCGAAGCTAACATTCTTCGGGTCTTTCTCACAGTTTCAAAAAGCAGATCACCCACTGCTGTTTCCTTTTCCTGTGTGTTTTTTAAGTGACAAAGATCCACTGCCAAGATACTATTTCTGTTCAGAGCCAGCGAGAGAGAGCAAAGAGACACAGGCACAAAAATTTCCCCCAGCTCCACCACGGTGGAGAAATGGTGTTTTCAGTAAGATGGAAACTAGAAACATGGAAAAGGTCTGGAAGATGAGCTGTGCTCTAAATGTAAAACCCAAGTCAGCCAAAGTGATAATAACTCAAAGTACAATGTGTAATGCTAAATACAGACATTTAAAGAGTCTACAATATTACACTCTATATCTAATTCTATTATATGATATCCTAGTCTCCATAAGCATGAGTAATGTTGACCTCTCCCATTCATAAAGCATGCAGATGCATTTTGAAAGATTTACTTTTTTTAATCGGGGAATTCTCTGGTGGTCCAGTGGTTAGGATGCTTTCACTCCCAAGGGCCCAGATTCGAGCCCTGATCAAGAAACCAAGATTCCACATGCTGAGCAGTGCAGCCAAAAACAAACAAACAAACAAACCTGATAGGCTATACAGAGCACTGCCCATAGCTGCTCAATAAAGTGTTGCATTGAACCTGTTATGTGGCAGCCGGGATGGCAGAGGAATCGGGGGAGAATGGTTACATGTATATATATGACTGAGTTCCTTTGCTATCCACCTGAAACTATCACAACATTGTTAACCACCTACACAGCAATGTAAAATAAAAAGGTTTAAAAATCGCATTATATTTATAGAATATTGAAGCAGAATGAAATTTAGAGATGACCTAGTCTTACCTTTTTGCTTTACAGATTCAAAAACTGGGGTTCAGAAAGATTAAATAACTGACCCAAGGCAACACAGATAAGAAGCAGCAGATCTGGGGCTCGAATTCAGATCTCTAGTTCGTCAACCTGCCTTCTTCCTACTATATGATGGTGCCTCATGATTCCAGGCTCACTCTTCTGCTCTCTCTCATTTGCTGGACAGCAAGCAAGAATTACTGCAGCATTTCCTCTGATTTCTTATCTTTGGACTTGACTACTGAGCTACTTAAGCAACCAAGTATGAGCACTTGGGGCATGCCCACAGCATTGTGTGTGTGTGCACGTGCGCACATGCGCACGCGTACACACACACACACACACACACACTGTTAGTTCTCATTAAAGAGTATCTTGGAAGAAAGCATGTGCTATAAGAAGACAACCTTCTACCAGGGAATGCTGGGAAATACAGTAAACGCTGCTGCTCACGAACACTATTCTCACTTCCTTCTTGCTTAGAATAGTGCAAATTTATTCAGCTATTGAGAAATAGAGACAGTATGTTCAGAGGTGAACCCTGCCTGGCCAAACCAAGTCATTTCATTCTCTCGGACAATGAGATATTAGAGAGAACTGACTGGGAGGCTTTGGGGGAATATTTCCTTTCTGATAAAAGAAAGGTATGGTACCTCTTACCACACACACACAGCCCATGCAGGACCACAGTAGCCACAACCACAGACTCACAAAAGAACAAAACAACAGTACCCTTAACAACACAGTGCTGCCTAGGTTTCTGATTTTTCCCAGTTGCTTCCTCCTATTAATATAGCAGCCTGATGATACCAGTCATCACAATAAAATGCTTGCCATTTACAAAGCACTTCCTCAGTGAGTAACACGATGTGATAAAAGAGAAAGAGATGAATTATAAACCTCAGCAAGATCATGAGCGAATTATTTATCCCATCTGAGCCTGTTTCTTCGTTGATAAAATGAGAGAATCACAACCCTCAGCTTGGTTCCTAACATTTTAATGAAAGAATGTGCCGGAAAGCAGAGTTGTCTGTGTCTCAAGCAGAGTTGATATGAGAGCCAAATCACTGACGCTCCAGATCCAAATCAGGATCTGCTACAGAAGCAAGGGCTTCTGACCGGCCAATGTTTTGAAAATTCTATTTTCCGGGAGCATCATTTCTACTGGGAAAAACATAGTGACACTGTTCAGCAAAAAAAAAATTAAGAAAGCTGCTTAATCGTCCTTAATTTTAACTACATTAATACAGCTTTATAATTTTTTAATAAAATTTTAAACTTCTAATTTTAATATAGTAGAAGTAGTTCAGTCACTGAGTCATGTCTGACTGTTTGTGACCCTATGGACTTCAGCACGCCAGGCTTCCCTGTCTGTCACCAACTCCTGGAGCTTGCTCAAACTCATTTTTATATATATGCATATATTTATGGTGACCCAGATGGTAAAGAATCTGCCCCCAATGCTGGAGACTCGGGTTTAACCCCTGGGTTACACCTGGAGAAGGGAATGGCAACCCACTCCAGGATTCTTGCCTGGAGAATTCCATGGACAGAGGAGCCTGGTGGGCTACAGTCCATGGGGTTGCAAAGAGTCAGACACAACTAAGTGACCAAACACTTTCACACTTTCACATATAAGATAAACCATAAAATCATATATCTATAATAATTATATATAATTTTATATATTTAAATATATATTATATATATATATATAGGTTTACTTTCAACACTTTAGACCTATTTTTTAAGACTGTTTTAATCCTACTTAGGCAGTTCTTTAGCACATATGGTTCCAAGCAAACGAAAGAATCTCCAGGCACCAGAAACACGGGGAGACATGAGCTGAAAGAAAAGGTCCAGTTCTTAGCTTTCTGCATGGCAGGGATCTGAGATCCTGAGAAGAAGAGCAGGAGAGAAGCAGCTGAACACCACCCGGTTCCGAGCCGGGCGCCCGCCCTCCTGCCTACGGAGCCTGAGCGGCAGAGACCCGGAGCTGCACCGGGGCCGAGCACAGAGATGAAGGGCGGCGGGCCTCCCGCGGCACGGCCCGGGCAGGGGGGGTCCTGCTCCGGGAGCCCCGGCGCCGGGGGCGGGGCTCAGAGCCAGCCCCGCCCCCGGCCCCCCGGGGAAGGAAGCAGAAAAAGGGGAAGCGGCCCCATCCTCTCATACTATACTAGGTCTCAGGACTGAAAGCCGCTGGCCCGGGAGGACCACACAGAGGGGCAGCTTTCGGCCGCAGCCTAGTAACTCTGAGGTAATTGTCATTTTTACGCTTCTACCCCTGGCCTGAGGGTTGAACACAGGGCGTCTCATTTTCTTCCACGAGGCAGCCGAAATCTGTTCCTGGGCCTGAGACGCCCCTTCCCCTGTTCCAGCCAAGGTTTCCTGGGACTTAAGGCGGGGACAAGTCTTGGTCTTAACACTTGAGATTCTTCAAAAACGTGTGTCGTGTTCTGGAGGTGATTTACCTCGGAAAGCCACTGGAGGAAGCCACTTTGCCCTGAGCGGTTCCTTTGTCTGCAGTCAGCAGGATTTATAAATAGGCATGGCTAACAGGGTGGCAGCTTGGTCCTGGGGGCGGCGTGGTTCCAAAGGCTGCAGAAGGCACCACCAGCCCCCTGCCCACTTCTCTCGGGGCACTGACCCCAGGATAACTTCCCCTTGGGGTTTAGGCTTCCAGGTGGACACCAGAGGCTTAGAGCCTCGGACCAGCAAGAATGGAAGACACCCTTCAGTCACTTCTACTCAACCAGGTTTGTCTAACGGAAGGGGTTGTGCCTCCTTGCCTTAACTACCAAGGAATGGGAGCTGACGTTCCATGTCTTCACGGGGAGACCCTGGTTTCTTCTCTGCAGCAGGCACCCCCCACCCCGACCCCCAGAGATAGGTCAGCTGATGCTGACTCACACAGCCCTGCTTCCCTGCCCTTTCAAAGCCCAGACCTGGGTTTGAAAGATGACACTGTGGACATTACCTTGGGTGTAGAGGCCCTTCTCCCGCGGCCCACATGGATTTGTGTTCCTTCGGACGAGTACACCTGGCCTTTCTCCCCTAGGGTCTGCCAGTGGCCGCCATGGGGTCTGTGAGCTCCCGAAGTCACAAGGCGGAAGCCCAGGTGGTGATGATGGGCCTGGACTCGGCCGGCAAGACCACGCTCCTGTACAAACTGAAGGGCCACCAGCTGGTGGAGACCCTGCCCACCGTGGGTTTCAACGTGGAGCCCCTCGAGGCCCCCGGGCAGGTGCGCCTCACCCTCTGGGATGTCGGGGGGCAGAGCCCGCTCAGGGCCAGCTGGAAGGACTACCTGGAGGGCACGGCCGTCCTCGTGTTCGTGCTGGACAGCACGGACGAGGCCCGCTTGCCCGAGGCAGTGGCTGAGCTCACAGAGGTCCTGGAGGACCCCCACCTGGACGGCGTCCCCCTCCTGGTGCTGGCCAACAAGCAGGATGCACCCCACACCCTGCCGCTGCCCAAGATCCGAGACAGGCTAGGCCTGCGGAGGTTTCCGGGGCTCTGCTGGGAGCTGCGGGCCTGCAGTGCCCTCACTGGCGAGGGGCTGCCTGAGGCCCTGGGGACCCTGAGGCGTCTCCTGAGCTACCGCAGCCCCCCGAGTCTCCAGGTGGGTGCAAGGGGAGGCCATCGGGAGACCTGAGAGCCTCGATCCGGGCAGAGCAGCCTGTCTTCTCTGCTCTTACAGACTGGAACACCAGCTAATCCTGGAGGGAAACTTAAGTTCTTTTTATCAAACAAGGAACCCTCCTAGGCTCAGACACAATATTTAACTCTTTGGACTAATTGTCACCGGTGTTTATGTTGCATATCAGCTACTCTTGCAATAATGATACTCTAAGTATTCCAGGTGGTTCAGCAGCAAAGAATCTGCCTGCAATGCAGGAGACGTGCGTTCAGTCCCTGGGTCGTGAAGATCCCCTGGAGAAGGGAGTGGCAACCCACTCCAGTATTCTTGTCTGGAGAATCCCGTGGACAGAGGAGCCTGGAGGGCTACAGTCCATGGGCTCTCAAGAGAATCGGACATGACTTACCAACTAAACAACAACAAAGAAAAAAAAAAAACCTCAACATAATTCGTTTAGTAACTCATCATTACCACGTGTGAACTGAGAAACTATAATAACAGAACAAGTGGCTGCAGAATAATTAACACCTAAATTCACAGAGGGAAAGAGGTTTCAAAATCAGATCAGAATATCAGACTTGGACATGTTCACGATCTTATGAATGATCGTTCTTAGTAGCCCCCTAAATCATCCCAAGTGCCACCACCCTCTGAGAGCAAGCAGTCAGGGCCAGCAGGGTCAAGTCTGCTTCCAAAGGATCTCGGGTTAGAAGTTGGCTGGGCACTCAGCCCCGGACAGAGGCCGGGAGTTCGGACTTTCCAAAATCAATCACCTTTTCTGACCCTGACTAGTCATTCTCTGGAGGAGGGTGTGACAACCCACTCCAGTATTCTTTCCTGGAGAATCCCATGGACAGAGGAGCCCAACGGGCTACAGTCCATAGGGTCTCAAAGAGTCAGACATGACTGAAGCGACTAAGCATGAATGCACGAATGCACAGCCCTTCTCCAACTTTTTGTTATCTTGTGCTGGTCTTTTTCCAGAACCCTTCATTGTTTTCTGTTTTCCTTCTCTTTCTTCTCCTTGTATAGATTCCCTTAAAGATCAATCAGTTTCATTCATCCATTTATTCATTCACTTAATAAAAAATATGTCAAGCATGGAATTTGTGGCAAAGGGCAGTGAGTTTTAGATATGAAGCAGGGCCTCCAGATGGGAGGCGTGAATTCTGAAGATATGTATAGCAGCAATGTACCTCTCACTATTTACAGTGAAAGAGGAAGTTGAACATAGCATCCTAGAAGGGTTTTCAGGTGATTTTTACCTGGGAGCCATGAAGCTCCTGAAATTATTTGCAAAAAGATCAGAAACTTTCATTAGATTTTCAAAGGCACCTGTGACTCCCTAAGGTAAGAAGCACCAATCTGGTCTTATCCTTCATCCAACCCAGGAATACTTCCTGTAATCTGAGTTTTTTAATAGCAAGCTGCTTCCATTTGGTACCTGCTCTCGTGTTAAACAGCTCTAAATGTTGGATATTCTTTCCCTCTTGGGCTTCTGTCAGCCTCCTAAGAGCTCCTGACGGTGGCTCTGCCCTCTGTGGGGTGACACATGACAACTGGCCCTCGACACCCCTCTGATGTCTGAGAGGCCCCACTACCCAACATCAGCTTAGATGTGCCTGGTTTTTTCCACCTCTTGCCAGTTGATGTGTTTCAAGACTTCCTGTGTTGGACACAGGAAAGTACAAAGATGCAAAGACAAAGGGAACAAGGCCTCCAGGCTCAGGGCGCTCTGGGTGGGGAAGCAGAGGATACGATTCCCATGAAGGTGAGGATGGGAGCTTACTGTTTCCTGCGCATGTACTGGGCCCGGTTCTGTGCTCAGTCCCTTACAAGAGATGACATCTAAGTCTCCTAATTCTGCCAAGTAGGTATCCTTCCCATTTTACAGAATTAGACACTGAGGCTCGGAGAGGTTGTGACTTGCTTAAGGCATGGCTCTTAAGTGACACTTCTGGAATTTGAACCAGATGTTCTAGCCCTTGATGATGCCTGCATTCTTCTACGACATTGTGCTTCTAGGAGGTTTAAGCCAAGGTTGACATTTGATTGGCAGATGAGATGGGGGAGCAGTCTAATCAGATGAAAGTGATTGTTTGGAGGCATGAGGGACAGTGTAGGAAGGACAAATAAGCCAAAAAAAAAAAAAAAAGAAAAAAAACTGAAACAGGAGGTTTGGGGTGAGAGGTGGTATGTATTATAACAGGAAACAAAACTGAAAGGAGTGACTTTCCTGCTGGTCCGGTGGCTACGACTCCACGCTCCCAATGCAGGGGGCCCAGGTTCGATCCCTGGTCAGGGAACTAGATCCCACATGCTGAAACTATGACCTGGCACAGTCAAATAAATGAATAAATGTTACATTTTTTTTTTAATGGAGAGAAATTTTAGATCCAAGTTGAGAAGCCTTCCCTGGTGGTTCAGACGGTAAAGAATCTACCTGCAATGTGGGAGAGCCAGGTTCCATCCCTGGGCTGGGAAAATCCCCTGGAGAAGGAAATGGCAACCCACTCCAGTATTCTTGCCTGGAGAATTCCATGGACAAAGGAACCTGATGGGCTACAGTCCAGGGAGTCACCAAGAGTCAGACATGACTGAGTGACTAACACACACACATGAGAAGGCTTAGACTTTCATAATCAGGAGTTGGTCTCAGAGAAGTGAAACTGTCTGGCTTCCATTTAAGAGGCTAATTTAGTGGCAGTGTAGGGGTGAAATAAAGAGAAGCAGAAACACTGGGAATGGAGAGGCAGGGAACCCCAGTGGATGCCCATCGCAGTCACAGAGGAGGGGAGAGGAAGACAAGAACACTGAGAGCCATTTCTAAGAGAAAAGGCTGAGAGTGGAAGAACTCGAAGACACTCAAGGTTTTGAGCCTATGTAGCAGGTGGGATTGGAATGAACTGAGAAGGTGGACACGGGAGGAGCATGTTGCGAAGGGGTCAGAACCGCTGGGCTCTGCTGGGTCTGAGTGTATTTATAACTCTGTTCACACTGTGTCATTATCTGCAGACCCTGGGGCACCTGGGACCCCCTGGAGGTATCTGCTGGTTTCTGTTCATGGAAGCTCATCTCCGCATGTGATTTGTCCTGTTTTTATTATGAGCTCATCTTCAGCAGGGTGTGCTTTTCCTGTGTGACTGCCTTGTGCTCAGGGTTTCTACACAGAGGGGTTTCCCATTAGCTGTCTACTAGATGCTGGGGCTTTCGATTTTTTGAGACCACATATTATGTTAGTTTCTCTGCTTGGGGCTCACAGATCGCCCAGGCAGTAGCAATCTGAACTCTCCACTCATTCACAGCCCAGGCGCTCCCTGGAGATGCAGTTTCTGACAGGCGACTGTTTTTCTTTGCATTCATATCCCAAGATAGACCATTTGCTTCCACATGCCCGGCTGAGCTGGTGAGCAGACTTTTCCAATCCCCTTTTAAGAGAGGGGTGCCACTTTAATGCTCTTACTTTTCTGTTGAGCTCAGAGCAAAATCTTCCCCCCTCCAAACAAGAGTGAGGCCACATCTCCCATCCCCACGCAGATGCTATGACCACAGACCAATCCCTAGAACCTAGGTTTGGCTTCTCTAAGATGCTTCTGGACTCCAGGCTTCACTAAACTGCTTTGGCTATAGGTTTCCCCCTTCATTTCTGCCACTTGGATTTCCCTTTTTTTTTTTTTAATGTTCAATGATAGCCTACATTAAAACATTTTTTCTGACTGTAATTTATCCAATACTTATGACTCCCTAAGTATTAGAAACAGTGACGGACTTTATTTTTAGGGGCTCCAAAGTCACTGCAGATGGTGACTACAACTATGAAATTAAAAGACCCTTGCTCCTTGGAAGAAAAGTTATGACCAACCTAGACAGCATATTAAAAAGCAGAGATGTTACTTTGTCAACAAAGGTCCATCTAGTCCAAGCTATGGTTTTTCCAGTAGTCACATATGGATGTGAGAGTTGGACTATACAGAAAGCTGAGCACCAAATTGATGCTTTTGAACTGTGGTGTTGCAGAAGACTCTTGAGAGTCCCTTGGACTGCAAGGAGATCCAACCAGTCCATCCTAAAGGAGATCAGTCCTGAATATTCATTGGAAGGACTGATGCTGAAGCTGAAACTCCAATAGTTTGGCCACCTAATGCAAAGAATTGACTCATTTGAAAAGACACTGATGCTGAGAAAGATTGAAGGCGGGAGGAGAAGGGGATGACAGAGGATGAGATGGTTGGATGGTATCACTGACTCAATGGACATGAGTCTGAGTAAACTTCAGGAGTTGGTGATGGACAGGGAGGCCTAGCGTGCTGCGATTCATAGGGTCACAGAGTCAGACAAAACTGAGCAACTGAACTGAACTATGACTCCAAAGTGGAAAAGGGTCCATCTGCTGTGTTGCCAGGGTCCCAGGAAAGGCTGAGAGGAGACCAGGATGGCCTAGGGCACACAGGTGGTGGCTGGCTTTGCCTTCTCCAGGTCTCCCATCTTTCCCCCTGCTTCCATTCCAACCACAGCGGCTCTGGAGGGAGGGTGGAACCCCATCTTCTTTTAGAACCTTCCCTGAAGACCACAGGGTAGCTGGCCTTGCCCACTGGAAGCTAGAGTGGCAACAGGTCAACGCTGGCCGGTAGGACTGGGGATTCTACTCTCCTGGCCGCTGGCAACTGGAAGGTGGGGCAGTCTGTGGCCAGTAGGAGGGCCTCGGCCCTTGCCTCCCCTCCTGAGTCAGGCCAGAGCCCACCAGGGACGTGGATTGCTCCTCTGCTCAGATACACATATGGACATTTACATGTACTTAACATCACAGAGCTACAACACAGGGGACCTTGAGAAAAAACAAACTGTGCCTTCTGTTTTATTTTGTTCTTTAAAAGGTCTTCTCATTATGGGAGAGGTATTTTCAAATCACTCACACCTTTCAGATCTATCTGCCTTCCATTAACCTATGAGCAGGAGTAAGGAGGTGCAGGAGTTGATGTGGCTGAAAAGCACATGTCTATTGCCTTCTTATATAT